ATATTATATTTATATATTTAAAGTATCATCTTAAAGCTTTTTTTAAATTATTTAATAAAGATTTATAAAAATTAACTTTAACTTTAATAAAATTTATAAATTTATAAGAAAGAATTATATTATTTAAGTACTTACTTCTTTTGATTTTACTTTATTTTATAAATAAAGACATCTTAAAGTTGACTATATAACAAGGCATAGCTATACCTCCGGAGTTTTATAGCAATTGCACTAGGAACACTACCGATCCGGCGTAACTTTATGCTCCTATGTTACTTGGAATCTTGATACAGCTTCGGTGGAAGGTTCATGCAATCGAAAATAGTTACGATCTAAAGTCACAGCCACTGGTAAGATTAAGGCTCCTAACTTTATATTATTTGGAGAAGCTCCTTCATAATTACTGGAACCTCCCTACCAGGATCCAAGAACTGAGAATTATTCTCGTACCTTCAAATATTAACCAACCACATCCTGGATTACGGCCTCCATCTTCAGTGCCTCCTTTCGTTCAATTATTATCACATCACCTGCCAGCATATGTCAGTAACCTTGTCAATTCAACATCGCCTGAACCATCTCTTGCAGTGGAAACAGTCACCATGGTTCTCAAACATGAGCCCATAGCCGTGGTTGGAATGGCAATCAAAGTCGCTGGAGCTGATGACGTGCAAGAGTTTTCGCAGATGCTACGCACCGGAAAGTCACAGCATGAGTTGATTGGGCCGGACCGTCTCATGATGGACACGCTGTTTCGCGAGGAAGAAAAGGATACGTCGCGAAATTGGTATGGAAATTTCATCAGAGACGTTGACGCCTTCGACCACAAGTTCTTCAAGCGCAGTCCGAGGGAGTCAACCACCATGGACCCCCAGCAGCGCCTGTTTCTACAGGCCGCTTACCAGGCTGTCGAGCAGTCGGGTTATTTCACCGAGAACGATAACGGCGGCGATAGGGATAAGAGGCATGTCGGTGTCTACGTCGGAGCTTGTGCTGCTGACTACGAGCATCATGTCGCATGCCACTCTGCCAACGCCTTCACGGCCACCGGAAACCTGAAAAGCTTTGTTCCGGGAAAGGTATCTCACTATTTTGGATGGACAGGCCCATCCATGACATTCGACACAGCTTGCTCAGCTTCCGCCGTTGCCATCCATACAGCCTGCCAGAATCTGATTTCGGGCGAATGTTCGGCTGCCCTAGCTGGCGGTATAGCTACCATGTCCAACTTTCTCTGGTTCCAAAACCTCGCTGGAGCCAGCTTTCTCAGCCCAAGTGGCCAGTGCAAGCCCTTTGACGATGCAGCAGATGGGTACTGCCGTGCAGAGGGCATCGCCTGCGTCTTCCTAAAGAGGCTGAGCGATGCTCTGAAAGATGGGAATCCTGTTCTTGGATGCATTTCAAGCACAGCTGTGTACCAGAATCAGAACTGCACCCCTTTGTTTGTGCCAAACTCTCCCTCTCTCTCCCAGCTTTTTGGAGACGTTATCGCCAAAGCAGGCCTCAAACCGCGCGACATCTCCCTCGTCGAGGCCCACGGAACAGGCACACCGGTTGGCGATCCTGCTGAATATGAAAGTATTCGCCTTGCCATTGGTGGATCGAACCGCGACACAACACTGCCCGTTGGTTCTGTCAAAGGACACATTGGCCATACCGAGGGTGCATCAGGAGTAGTATCGCTGATCAAAGTCATCGTCATGATGCAGGAGAAGTACATTCCTCCCCAGGCAAGCTTCTCCAAGATGAGCTCTCACATCAAGGTGACACCTTTCGACATGATGGAAGTCGTCACTAGCTTGCAACATTGGAGCGGGGACCAAAGGGCTGCCCTCATCAACAATTATGGTGCCAGTGGTTCCAACGCTTCCATGGTAGTGACACAAACACCAGCAGCTCAGCTTGTTGAAAATCCAGCCTTGTCATCCAAACCTGTTCCCTTTCGTGTTTCTGGTCATGATGGCCGCTCTATCAAAGCATTCTGCGCCAAGCTGCTATCAACAATCGAGCAGGATGCGTGTTCTGACGTCAGAAACCTGGCATACAACATCAACCGGCAGTTCAACCCTGATCTGAAGCGTCGTCTCATCTTTAGCTGCCGGTCGAGGGATGATCTTGTATCAAATCTTGCCGGTATTGCATCCATGGCAGACGATTCGCAAGCAGGAATAGAGATTCCCAGCGTACAACGTCCCGTCATACTCTGCTTCGGAGGCCAGATATCTACCTACGTAGGTCTTGATCGAAATGTCTACGATGGAATTTCCATCTTACGCTATCACCTCGATCAATGTGACGCCCGTATGCAGTCACAAGGTTTCGGCAGCATTTACCCGGGAATATTCCTCCGTACTCCCCAAGATACAGTCCAGCTTCAGCTGATGCTTTTTGCTTTGCAATATTCTTGCGCCATGGCCTGGCTCGACTCTGGTCTTTCTTCAAAGGTCGTCGCCTTGACGGGACACAGCTTCGGCGAGATAACAGCCCTTTGTGTCTCTGGCGCCTTTTCTTTGGACGACGCCGTCAAACTCGTGGGAAGCCGTGCCTTGGCGGTGAGAGATCATTGGGCCGTTGACCACGGAGCTATGATGGCAGTCGAGTCTGAGGAGGCCCATGTACTTGAGCTTCTGGCTGAGGCAAATGAGTCAGATGACGTGGCCGAAATAGCGTGCCATAACGGGCCTCGCAGCTTCACGCTTGCCGGGCCTACCAGATCAATCGAGAGGGTCGCTGAGGTGATATCAAAAGACGCGAGATTCCAGTCCATCAAGTTCAAATGGCTCAACGTGACAAACGCTTTCCACTCGAGCCTGGTTGATCAACTTACCCCGGAGCTAGAAGGCATTGGTAGAGGACTGGAGTTCAAGGAACCTTGCATACCACTTGAACGAGCAACTCGTACCAGGATAGACCCTAAGCTCGATTACAAGTTCGTTTCCGAGCATATGAGAAATCCAGTGTATTTTAACCATGCTATACAACGGCTTGCGAACGATCACCCCTCGGCTGTCTTTATCGAGGCTGGATCTACCTCTGGTATCACCATGATGGCGAGCCGTGCCTTGGCAGGACGCAAAAGCTTCAGTTCACAGTACTTCCAGGCGATTAATCTTACCAACGACAGGGCATTGGACAATCTCACAGACGCCACCTTGTCCTTGTGGAATCAGGGGCTGTCTTTTGCTTTCTGGGGTCACCACCCATCGCAGAGCAGCGAATACACCACGATGATCCTGCCACCCTACCAGTTTGAAAGGTCTAAGCACTGGCTTGAACTCAAATCCCCTCTGCAAGCTGTGAATGCTGCTGCTGCTGCTGCTGCTGCTGCACTCGGGCCTCCGGGATTCACTGCCCAAGGCAATGAAACAGCACAGGCGCAAACAGACGGTCTGTGGAGTTTGGTTTCCGACCACGCAGATAGCCCCGTGTTCCGTATCAACACAAGCTCAGATAAGTACAGAAGCTTCATCTCGGGCCATCTGATTGCCCAAACCGCCCCAATCTGTCCTGCAACTCTCATGGTTGATATGGCCATCGAAGCGCTGTTCAGCATCAATTCGCATTGGAGAGAAAACGGCTTTCTCCCTGTTATTCACCACATGGTCAACCACTCGCCACTCTGTGTCAACTCTTCACTTACTACCTATCTCAAGTTTGAGCCGCTAGGTGATCAAGGTGCCCACTGGAAGTGGAGGATCTATAGTCATTCGTCACAATCAGACGAGAATCATGCGGAGACGCATGTCGAAGCTGAGATTCATGTTCGAGATCCTCTCGATAGAGGCTATCAATCGGAGTTCTCACGCTTCGATCGACTAGTGACGCACACCAACTGCACCAAGATGCTTCAGCTCGGCTTGGGCGCGCATCAAGCTGCCCGGGTTGACGTTCTGACAGGCCGCAACATATACCGCACGTTTTCTGATGTTGTCGACTACGGTGACTTGTATCGTGGCGTCACAGCTCTCGTCGGCACTTCGACTGAGTGCACAGGGCACATTGTCAAGAAACCCTCTGGAAACACCTGGCTTGACGTACCTCTCAGCGACTCCTTTAGTCAGGTCGGCGGCATCTGGGTGAATTGCATGACCGACTGCGATCCAGCTGATATGTTTATCGCCACGGGTTGTGAGTTGTCTATGCGGTCCCCGTTTGTCGAGCAAGATTCCGACCAGATCCAGGAGAGCTGGCATGTATTCGGTCGCCATACTCGCCAGTCCGAGAAGCTCTGGGTATCAGACTTGTTTATCTTTAATCCCTCAACTGGCCTACTGCGTGAGGTGATGCTGGGTATCCAGTATGCGCGTGTCGCAAAGGCTTCGATGCGTCGTATGTTGACGAGGCTGACTACTGATCCGTCAGCTCTCAAATCGAAGCCACCAACGGAAATTGTCTCCAAGCCCACTGAGCCTGTACTCACTCCGCCCATGTCCCCTGGACATACTGCTCAGGACAGAGGGACTTCCAAACCAGAGGGGGCACCAATCAAGCCCAGAGCCGCCAGCCATCCAGATATCACGGAGGACGTCAAGAAGCTTGTGGCACATGTGGCAGGAATAGAGGCTGGCGATATCACACTTGATGCCGAGATGGCGGATTTTGGTATCGACTCGCTTATGGGTATGGAAGTTGCTCGTGAGGTTCAGGTCGTTTTCAAGTGCACCTTGGATCAGAATGAGTTGATGGAGGCAACAAGTCTCCGCAAGTTTGTCGTCTGCATATCGAAAGCGCTCTATGGCCCCGAATACGATGGCACCTCAGCTTCCAGCAGCGATGATAACAGCGAGTCATCTGGTAGTTCGTCTGCTTCGAGCAAGGCGTCAAGCTTGACTACGCCCACAGACCTCGACCTGGCGCAGACTCCACCAAAACCTTCATCGTCTGTGGATTCGAGGCCGGTATCAAGCAATCTGCAGCTATCCGAGTCTGATGTACTGGCATCATTCGCTCAGGTGAAACTTCTCTCCGATGAGCACCTTGTACACTTTAAAGTCGACAACATCGACCGTGAGGTCTTGGCTGGCTCCAGTCGTCTTTGTGTCGCCCTTGTCGTCGAGGCTTTTGAGCAACTGGGTGTCTCTCTGACGAGTGCAGGTCCAGGACGAGTCCTCGAATCCATACAGTTCCCGCCAGCTCACAAAAGACTAGTGGACTTCATCTATAGATTCCTTTGCGATGATGCCCGCCTTATCGATATCAACGATGCAACCGGACAGATCACGCGTACACAGGTTCCCACTCCTCGTAAGACAAGTTCGCAGATACTTGACGAGCAGCTGGCGAGGTATCCCGAGTTTGTAGTGGCCAACAGACTCACCTACTATGCAGGAACCCACTTGGCCGATGTTCTCAAGGGAGAGACAGACGGCCTTCGTCTCATCTTTGGAAGTATCGAGGGTCGTGATCTAGTACAAGCACTGTACTGCGACCACACTTTCAACCGGATGAATTACAACCACATGAAGCTTGTCATTGAAAATCTGGTGGATAGACTTGGAGACAGTCAGCCCGGCGAGACGATGAAGATCCTCGAAGTAGGTGCTGGAACTGGAGGGACAACCCACGTCTTGGCTCCAATGCTAGCAAAGCTCGGAATCCCCGTTGAGTACACATTCACAGATATATCTGGATCTATGGTTGCAAGCGCCAGACGCAGGTTTGGCAAATCATATCCATTCATGAGATTTGCAGTTCACGACATCGAAACGCCGCCAACTGAAGATCTGAAGGGTCAACATATCATCATTGGTAGCAACGCCGTGCATGCAACCAGGAATCTGGTGACTTCTGCTTCTAATCTAAGAAGTGCACTGCGTGCCGATGGCTTTCTGATGATCTTGGAGATGACCGAATCTGTACCCTTCGTCGACATCATCTTCGGTCTCCTCGAGGGCTGGTGGCTGTTCGACGATGGCCGCAAGCATGCCATTATTACCGCTGAGGAATGGGAGCGTAATCTTCACAACGCTGGTTACGGCCATGTTGACTGGACTGATGGATCATTGCCTGAGAACACTTTCCAGAAGGTCATCATCGCTCTCGCGTCAGGAAAGCCCCGGGATAGGCTACCCAAATCAACCCTGCGCAAGGCAGCAGTTGAGGAGTCGACGAGCGAAGAGCGGCAAAGGCAGAGAGAGCTGGAAATTGAACGCTATGTTGCCAAGTACTCGGCTGACTTTGAGGTACACAACGAGGTTCAAGACGCCCGCCCGATCACCAGGACCCAGAGCAGGAGGGCAATTGTTCTTTTGACTGGCGCTACCGGCAGTCTTGGCTCTCACCTGGCCGCCACTCTTGCGAGCAACGACGACGTGGAAGCAGTTGTCTGTATCAACCGCCGGAGTAGGGCACCCGTTGATGAACGACAGGTCGAGGCTTTCAGGTCTCGCGGCATTACAATCACTTCTGCCCAGCGCTCCAAGATGCGTATTCTTGAGGCAGATGCCTCGAGCTCTAACCTGGGCCTCTCCGAGTCCGACTATCAATGGCTGGTGCGGAATGGGACGCACATTATACACAACGCTTGGCCAATGAGTGGAACTCGTCCTGTCAAGGCATTCGAACCCCAGTTCCAGGCTCTCCGTAACCTCTTGGACCTTGCACGGGACATGTCTCGTCGCAAGGATGCTCCTCGTATCACGTTCCAGCTCGTGTCTTCCATAGGTGTTGTCGGTCACTTCGACTCTCCCCGCGTTCCAGAGGAGCGTGTTTCCCTAAGATCTGTGCTTCACATCGGATACTGTGAAGCTAAATGGGCATGCGAGCGTATCCTCGATCAGACACTACACAAGAATCCAGATGTCTTTGATGCCATGGTTGTGCGTCCTGGACAGATCGCTGGTTCAAGCAAAAGCGGCTTTTGGAATCCCATAGAACACTTCGCATTTCTCGTCAAGTCGGCCCAATCTCTCCGTGCATGGCCCGATTTCGATGGCGTTGTGCAATGGGTCCCAGTGGACAATGTGGCTCAGAGCATGGTTGATCTCCTCCACCTGGGAGATGTCAATCGCCCTAAACCGCATCCCGTCTACCATATCGATAACCCAGTTGGGCAACCCTGGAAGGTCATGTCACAGGCATTGGCGGCTTCTCTGGACATTCCGCCTCGGCGCATAATCCCTTTCAGCCGGTGGGTGAAGCTGGTTCGTAACTCGCCACTTCCAGCCGATACCTGGAACCCGGCTGCACGACTCATTGATTTCTTAGATTCCAACTTCGAGCGCATGTCTTGCGGCGGGTTGATTCTCGACACTGTGAAGGCACAGAAGCACTCTAGTACTCTGTCAGTACAAGGCCCTGTCACTACAGAAATCGCTGTGAAATATATAAAATACTGGAAGGAGAGTGGTTTCTTAGCTTAGTTTTATAACGCGCTTTAATCACAATAAAGAACAATACTTCTTTCTACATTTTAAATGCCTCTGCTACACCGAGGCCACCAAAGCTAATACCTGTAATGACTACATACGCCATCGATGACTGAGTGCATGTTCTGAAGAGGTCTGGAGACGCGCTTACAGGTTTTGCCAGAAATTTCGCTGTTGAAAGCCGCGGCGAACCCTTGAGCTTGTGTAGTGCTATCGAACACCTTTATCGGCGTATAGTCAAAACAATCGCCCTCCTTATCAAAAACAAGAGCTATTCAGGTTGTTGGTCGCTAGGGATGTAGATCGGTCGCGGAGAAACAAACGTCAATTGAGGGATTGTTACAAGTAATACATCGGTTTATATGAGTATTTAGCCCAAGAGTATTCTTATACAAGTGGAAATTCTCCATGTCCCACAAATGTCCTTAACATGCAATTCTTGTCATGATCTTCCTGGATCGGTGACCCACCTCAGTGGGGAATTCGTTGGTTAATATCAACGAAACCCCGCTTCCTTCACGTGCTGCAGTACCATACTTGGCAGACACGTATTAAGTGAAGGGCCTCATGTACGTGCCTGAACAACATTCCGACAAGACATCAGTGTTCGAACCGTATCTTCAGACTTTCGCCCAGTCTACCAACGTAATCTATTTGAGAAGACACCGTCAAACATGCCACCGATTATCCACTGCGTGCGCCATGGGCAGGGCGCTCACAACCTTAGCTACGCGAACCATGATCTACCCGATCCCGAACTGACCCCTCTTGGAGAGGAACAAGCCCAGGCTCTGGTCCGCAGGCCTGAACTGGCCAACATTGAGCTTGTCGTATCATCACCACTACGACGTACCATTCAGACTACTCTATTGGCGTTCCCATCAAAGCTCAAAGCCGGCATGCAAGTTCTGGCTTGGTCAGAGGTGCAGGAAGCAAGTGATCTGATCTGCGATACTGGCAGCCGTCTTCCTGATATCAAAGCCAGGTTCGATGGTCTGCCTGTAGATTTCAGCCTTATTGAGCCAGACTGGTACCTCAAGGTATTTAGCCTCTATTCCGAATATTTCGTTCTAGAGGTCTAATTTGCCTTCATGATAAAGCAGGGAAAATGGGCCCCATTTGCAGCTTGCCTCCTAGAGAGGGCTCAGCTGGCCCGACAATGGCTGAGCGAACGGCCTGAAGCTGAAATTGTGGTGATTTCACATGGTTGTTTCCTACACTTTCTGACAGATGACTGGGTTAATGCCATCAATCCTCAAGGTGTGTTATTGTCAAGACTGTAAACATAAGTGCTGATACTAATGAGTGATCTAGCAACTGATTGGGGTAACGCTGAGATCCGCTCCTTTACCTTTGCTTCTAATATGAGTGGAGGTTGCTCTCTTGATGAGACCCATGAATCAAGAATGAGACGAGGGTGTCAACAACCTGCTTTGACAAAGGAGCAACTGCTAGAGCTACGGAATACAGTACTAAAGACATGGATTGAATGGGGAGTAATAAGAGAATGATATTTATTAAGTCGTTAGCAGAAAAGGAGATGACTTGATCTTATGGTGCATGCAAGGATATTGGAGAGGAAAATTTCAACCGAAGAATCCAACATTCTTCCTACAATCTTCTGAATTCAGATACTTGAAGATCTGAACAACAATGAAGTGTCTTCTCGTTTAATTAGCCAAGAGACTGGAAACCCGCAACCTCGCACGTTCTGGATCGACTGTCAACTAAAGAATTAGGCCTATGTATAAGGATGGGAGCTCAGAGAGTGACTCCTGCAGGACCGTAAGATGGAGTAACGAATTTATATCAAGCTAACATAACGTATATCTACAACAGCCAGCCTCCGCGATAAGATTTTAAATTCCTTACTATCTCCGAAAGATCCAGGCTTGGAACAGATTCTAACATTATGCTTTAGCTAGCGCTGCTTTTTCTTTTTATACTTATACTATATTGTAATATTTAGACCGTAGCAAGAGTCCTACTAAGGAAACCAGACCTCTACTTCTAATGGTATTCCACCTAGGAAAGGCAATACTACAATTCACTCTTACCTGTACTCACTGCTAAGATGACTGACGAGTCAAGCCCAGATCTCTTACTGTAAAAATCTGGAAAGTAGCCGACGGGCTGATTCGGTGAGATCGGCCCTAAACGCGGCGAGACCGACTGTTCTGCCTCCAGTTCGCTATGTATCGAATCCGCAGCGTAAATGTCAACCCCCTGTTCATGTGCCGAGGCCTTATGTACCGCTCCTAGCCCCTGAAGATGAGATCTCGCTTTCAACATTTCGGCCGCCAGTGTCTGCGACGCTCGTTGAGCCCAGTCATAGGGTGTTTCACCTGCGTGATCCTTTGCGTTTGCCATCTCGCCTGAGCAAGGGTCATCCAAAAGTATTCGAAGGATGTCTAGATCCCCAATTGCCGCAGCTGAATGCAGCGGTGTGACGCCATTGAAGTCTGCTTTCGCAGCGTTCGCCCCGGCGTTCAGAAGAAGTTGCACCGTTGAGGTGTGTTGCCAATACGCAGCGGCATGAACTGGTGTACCACCATAACGTGACCCTGGAGCATCAAGGTCATTTGGGTTGAACTCTGAGCTTGATATGAGCTTTTCAACTACGCATTTCAGCCCAAAGGAGGCAGCGTAGTACAAAGGTGTGGCATGGCGAGGATAAATGTCCCATTTGAAATTATAGGTCGCATTTAGAATTTGGACCCAAGCCATGAAATTTGCTCTGTGACAGAAATCGAAGAAGTCCAGCACGAGTTTAAGTAGGTCGTCATATCCTGTCTTGTCTTCGTTCTGTGAGTCCTTGGAATAATAAGCGAAGGCCAAGTTCGCATGATACGGCCATGCACTCGCCGCGTATTTGAGGAACGGATAATGCTGCAACCTCTGCGTATAGCTCTCCGCAGTCTTGGCTGGTCCATCAGAAAAGTCCCTCAGCATGAGATAGGTAAGGCATATCAAAGCAAGGTTGCGATGCGAGTCTTGCATAGTAAAGCAAAAGTGATCAACACTTGTATCACTTCCATGTTTCGGAGATACAAGATAGTCTCGCACAGAGAGATGCGATAGATGGACGTGCCCCGTTGGCGATAGTTCAAAAAGGGAGTTGCCTAGAAAAATGATATCCATAGGCTTGGATAACCGAGCTTCAGAGTCTAGGTAAAAGGTGCCGGGTTCAACAGCGAGGACTTCATAAAGTTCAGTGAGTGTGAGCGGCATCAAAGAGAAACTAATCCATTCTAGAGCGCTTCTCATTGTTTGACAAGCGTATTGGGGAACCCCCAAAAGTATGTTTCTGTAAGTAGCCTCCAGGCCCGAGGGGAGCTGGGTAAGAGCTTGGCGTATAGCTTTGACTGAGCGAAGGGGCGCGATAGCATCTAGTTGGCATTGGGCCCAGCGAAACCTATATATGCGTCAACATGCTAGTTGCCCTGACCAGATATAATCAGACGTTTACGAACATTGGGTTCGAGTCTGCCGCCAAGGCATCCGATATATGCTGCTTGATTTCTGAAGGCAGCCATTGAAGGTGTCTATTCTTCTCAAGCTGACTCCTGACGTATACTTGAATATCCTCGCGGACCTCTTGCCTGTGATCGTGCAGTTGAAGTTGCAACGCGTCGTGGAAGACTTGCTCCAAGCTCTCCGTCTTGCGTCCTGTCACAAGAACCCTTGCGTGTGAGTGCGAATCTGTAATATAGATGCTGCGAATGATATCGCCCAGCTCGATTGACATTTTGCTCTCATCCAGTCCATCGATCAGAATGAAGATCTTTTGGGTTTGAAGCATTTCTGATAATGATTCTTTGAGTAATGTCAGTGACGGGGGCGCCTCATAACCAGCAGATTGAGATGCCTTGAATGCAGCTCGAATTGCGCCAGGTATGGAGCCAGTCTCCATGCAGCATTGCGCGACGATAGAGCCAAGAATGTTGGAAGGTTCAAGAGATTCCGACTTTCGGAAATCACAGTAAGTATACGCGACAAGAGAGTGTTCCAAGGATCTGGTAGTGTCGGTAATCAGGTACTCAACGAGATAAGCGCTATACCAGGATCATAAAGTCAGAGCCATTTCCTAAACCAGGTGATCTCAAGCTTACAATAATTGAGTCTTTCCGGTGCCAGCTATTAAAAGCATGAGTATTTCCACCGTTTATTTACTTGTTCGATCCCGTGGCAGGATATGAGACACTTACGAGCACCATTCAGCCATAGTAATCGAGTATCGCCTCGATACCACTTCTTGAACTCATCGCAAGCGGACACCCAGGTACTTGTACCCACTTGATGTTGCCTCATTGTGTCAAGGTGGCTAGGTCGAAATGTTATCGATGACAGCCACTTGAAAATATCGCGATCTTCTGCTTCTTTACGTGTTACAACAGGCGCTTTGTTCGCTTTCAAGAGACGAAGACTAACCTGATTTCGAAGCACTCATGGCGTTCAATTTATCCTCGATGCGGGAATGTGATGCCTCCAACCTGGAATGCAAAATAATTGTAGTCGCACGTATCTCGAGAAGGAGTGTTCTGTTAACCTTAGATATAGTCATATCTTCAAAGTTGGCCGTTTTTAAAGACTTACGATTGATGTACTGACAAGGCAAGAATGAGACGAGTCTTGCATTTCTCGAGCCGGTCCAAGCAGGACTTGACTTCTGGCTCAATCAAATACCAGCGAGCAGCAGCACTTACTCTGCTTATAGCTGAGACTGGTGCTGATGCAGCAGGTAGGGGGCTGCTCAATCGTTGTTCCAGCTCATCTAGGATAGCTTGGCTATGTGGCAAGATGCCACTTATAGAGCCTCTTACTTTTTCGTAAACGACACCGACGTCCGCCCCTGCCAGTGTGTCCGTCTTCCCGTCGAGTCCCAGTTGAAGCGCTTCAAAGATATTTCTCAAGTTTCGTACCTCATCAATTGTTCTTGTTAATCCGGAAGGGGACTCCTTTAGTGCAGTACGAAAGGTCAAGCATAGCGAAAGAGCTTTGTTGGCCGTCTGAATGATAGCGATCACACCGGCTGTAATGCTAAGAGGATCCATTAAACTGATATAGCCAGTCTGGTGACTTGACGAAAGAGATTATGAAGCTAAAAGAACCTGTTCATAAACGACTGACACAAGGTTATTGAACTCTGGAACGCACATGCGAATGCTGCAGTGTTTATTTCAGACACAATCGCAAAACGCCCGGCGATGCGGAAGGAAAGTGTAGAATGTAGCCTGTGACCCCGCCTCCAAGCACTGCCACTTGTTCAATCTCTATAACCAATTGAAACCCAACACGTTGCGTTGCTTCTTACTCGACCTTAGTAAGATGACAAGGGTTATTGGCTGGGGAGCATCACGTTGGTGGCGTGGTTTCAAGCCGTAAGCATACTTAGCTGTTCTGCCTTAGATAACCCTTTTCTGCTGACAGATTTCACAAGCCTCTCCTCCAATGGCAAACCGCCGCAAAGGGACCTTTGCGATGTGATTTTCGTAGTCCCCAGTAACCGGTAGGGTTACAGCAACTCTATGTAGGACAGAACCGCGCATATCGCCGTCGGCGTTGGCACCAGCCACTATCATGAAGACGCATCTCTTGTCGATTGTGCGGGCTCCTAAATCGATGATGCCCAACTCCGTACTCGGTATGGCTTGCGTGGTAGGGAGAACAATCGGGGCTTCCACCAAGATCGATCCTCGACGAAGTTGCGCGAGATAAGCAGTCCCTTCGTTCATGCCCGGCATCTGTCCCATCTGAAACTGCATAAAGTCACCCCAGATGGTGTCTTCAATCGCATTCTGGGGGCGCAAGCGGAAATCGCGTTCCCTCTGTAGCTTCACCGCCCTGACGGCCTTGCGATAGTTCCTCCGGAGAATTGTTGCAATGACGCTGATTTGTCGAGAATTGTATCGCCCACCACCAAAGGCACTGGCGACCTTGCGAGCTCTGCGACCTTTACCCTGACTGAATAGAATTAGGGTAATATCGCGATGTATTTCATTAGGAACAGGCTCATGCACAGTACCCAAGTGCTTTTTGACTGTGCAAACACCTAACCATCGGCCGTCGACTATCACGGTCCCCTCCTCCATGCGAACAAGTCCTAGTGGTTTGACTGTATCCAGACCGCTTGAAGAAGAGAGCTTGTGCCTTATATCAAAGTCTGGCAGTATGCAGCTAGGCTTGCCTCGATGTGTTAGAGGCGCGGGTGTCGCTACCGGCATCAGAAGCCATCTCAAGTGGCCGCAAGAGACAGCCTGCTCGAACCACTTGCTCCAAGCTCCTCTGTTCGTCTCGCTTGTTGATGTTGGGATCTCCACCCCGGAAGCAGCCATAATGCCGTAAACCTCGTCACGAGGCAGCTCAGCTGCCCGATTTCCGAGGAGCTCCATCACCCGTGTTCTGTCGCCCCGGGCCAAACGCATATTCACCATCCCACTGAAGTAACTGTATAATCTATGAAACTCGTCTCCGAAGCATTCCTCGATTCTCAGCGTGTCGCAGATATCCGGCAACGCTGAGAAGAGAATATCTTGAATGACGAGGGGTACTAGTTCCTTTCCAATCCATATTACTTGGCTGGCAAGGATGTATTCCTGTAGAGTCCATACCCGTGTGGCCCAGGGCGTGGTCGTTAGCCTTGCCAGCCCCCTCATTCCTTTGATGATCAATTTTCGCCCATGTCCCGTCGTCCATATCGCACCTTGCTCGGCCCATTCCTCTTCCTCATGCATTCTGACCGCAGGCTTGAGCTGTTCCACTACTCGATCTACGCTCGCCTGAGAAATCTGCAGGTCGCAGCTTAATACAATCACCACAGCGATAGAATCGCCAAATATGCGACCCATCAGTGGAATTTGTTGGTTCATATCTGCATCGTCTTGCTGATTGATGCAGATTGTGTCCACCCAGCAATAGTCCACTGTACCAGCAAATCGCTGCTCATTGACTGCTTTGAGGGCTTGTCGGCCTGGGCTTTCTAAAAATCCTCTACCGAGAGGAAATCGTTGCTCACTCCAGGCGTGTGACGCGGCTAGGTATGGTGGTGAGGTACCCAAGACCTGCTCGGTGACTACACCAGTCGAGAGGTTGATGAGTCTGAATGTTGCCATTATGAGTAGAGGTTTAATGTCTCAGATAATAGTCTGAGTGGTAATGGGCATTTCGTAGTTGTTACAAGTGTAGAGGCGGAGTTTAAATGTAAAGCTTAATGGGTGGAGGTGAATTTTCTTCTCCAGATCCTTGGCGCCCTGTCAGCTTACTGCCATGCATGTTCACCAGATTGCACCGGCTTTCAACCCAAGGGTTCTTTTCAGCTTGGCGTTGCTAGCGGCAAGCCACACCAGACAAAAGCTGAAGGGAAGCGCATGTGTCGGGCGTTATGGCTACTAACTTAGAGGCTAACATAATATATGACTACATGATTCTCTCGAACGAGAGAGCAGTACTGTAAAAGATATAGCAACGTTCCCAGGTCTAAATATAGAGGTCAGATTGAGGCATGCAGTTCCTAATAATGCCGTGCCGCTCGAGGCGCGTACCATATTCAGCTCGTGTCTCAGTGCAGCCAGGAATGGCAGAGCCTGGTGCAAGTACAGCCTGCTTCAAGACCTAGAGTAAGTTTACATAAGACTTCATATCCAATAGCGGCCATTTTCAAACCTCCATCAGCACTCGTTAGAATTATCACGACGCCACAGCGCTTAAATGTGCACATTTCCAGATTGCCTGATCTTTCCCCCTACGCTACCTGGTTCGCATATATACGGTATTACAGGCGGCCAAAGCCCATTTTCATTAGCTCTACAATATTCGCACACTTGGCTCTAAATGCTTTTATTCCTCTAACTTTACTTGCCATTCACCATGGCGTCGAGAAAAAGGTGTCGCGAACTATTTTCTTCGCTGATAAAGCCTTGGTGGTTCCATCTTCTCCCAATGCTTGTTTCCATCGGTTTGGTCGTGAGCATGGTGTTCGTGCTGAAGAGTTCAAATGGGCAACCCGTAAACAGTAACGACAAAACTCTCAACGCAAAAATATCTGCCCTCTCGACTGCCAATAGTGTGTTCCTACTGATGTCACATGAGTGCAAGCGATGGACACTTCTGAAGGAAATTGACAATAATGCATAAACATGTCTGTCGCTCCTATCACACTCCGTTCTTTGCAAAGCGACGTTGACGAATTCCTTCTCGTTTCACTTTGGTGCGTTACAGTAAATACAGAACTTGTTCACTACGTCCGGGCTTCTAATAATTATCTTCTTCAGACGTGTACTATCGAGGCGGGAGCGTAAGACCAGAGAGCATGTAAGAACAAATATATATTCTGCAATGAATCCTCTGTCCCCTCGCAATATAGAGAAGAAACACCTCGTAGAACAAAGCCAGGTACCCATGGTGAATTTACCGACGAGACCTGTTAGCCAAGGCTGTATTGACGGAAATGTATCTAAATGATTCTGAGAGAGAAGCCTTGTCTCACTCGCACTTGGCACTAGTTACCCTCAAATTGTTTTTCATGCCGTGACAATGATTGACTTTGGAACCAGTCATCAAATTTTGGAAACTGCAGCGCAGGAGTGGGATAGATTTACAGTCGAAATGACTGAAATAAATAAAGGATATAGAAGTTATTCTTTTGTTTTCTTTAACTAATGAGGTCACGATAGTGTTAGGCTGAGATATATCATATTGGAAAATCGTACCCTAGATTCGTCAACGACTAATCCACGGCTGATTTACGTAGTGGGGACTCTATACTAATGACGATGCATGTCGCGATTCCTGGTCTCGGGATCTACAGTAGATCTGATCTCAGATCTTGCCTCTAGTGGCTCCATCCGGCACCGCAGCCGATGTCCCCGACGCAACCTCAGGTACAAAAACGAGAAATCGTGTTTGCCTTTCTTGCTGCGATCATTCCATCCCCACCTCTAAATATTTGTCTCTTGAACAAACCATTCGAGTGACTGGACTTCTTCAGTAGAGAAGCTATATAATCTGTTGATTAGATGATGTGAGCCCAAAACACAGTCTCGGTCGCCGTTTATGGCACGAATTCATACTGCCACCAATCTCTTTTCCTTGCAAAAACACTCCCTTCCAAATTCTATCTCTCTCAGCTCATCACGTCCTTGCAAGTCCTCCAGCAAGCGGGTAGTCCTATACTGTCTCTCCGCACCAACCCTCTCAACTATTGGCAGTATGTACATACCGCAAGGCGACACACAATATACACTAATAGAAGCAGAAATTCACAGATTCGAGCACTGAGAACTGTCGATCGCCTTACTGTACATTGGCCCACCATGTCGTTCGCCAACGGTCCTCTACCTAACCCCAGTGGTCAACCCAACCGACCGAGCCTAACCCTAAACGTCGATAACTACTGGGTCGAAGCAGATGAGATCCTCCAGCGCCTTTCAGAAACTCTGAAAGAGCGACCTGCAATCGAAGATCCAAACCGACGCGTTGATACCGGCATTTGGTGGGTGAAGATCATCTCCCTGCGCCTAAAGTTCAACTGGGTCATAGACCGGTTCCAGCAGGATCCCAGCATCGGCCCTACTCTTCGTGCGATGCTGCGCAGCTTTCTCAAATTGAACCCGCTCGAGGATATCCTGCCTGATGAGGAAATGAGCAGCGAGAGTTTTCCTGCTGCTGACGAGCTACGCAACCGACTCAAGAGGCTTGTTGACACTGAGCCGAAAAACGACGAAGAGGCGGAGCAGAAGAGAAAGGATATAATCGCCGATGCTGCTCTTTACATCTGGTTCTTGTCTCAGACCAAGGAGGAGTGTGAGATGGAGAAGAGTGAGGGAGATGTTGGGGGTCCTAGCCCCGATGGCGTCCTTCGTGCCCAGGGCAAGAAAAAAGACAATTGAAAGCTGATTCTGGCGCTACGCACACTTTGAGGATGGGTTATGGGCTGGGAAAAGGATTGAATCACGGATTGGTAGTGAAGATTAGATAGAGGTAGATAGACATGAAGTGGGTTAGAGTCAATGGCATCCAACCTACCCCGGTTCTCCTCCTATAGTTGCGATGATGAATCTGCGTTTGACTCTGTGGTGTCTCAGGCCACGAAATACCTTATGTATTACGACACTTTGTCGGTTTTTGAATCCAAAGTCTCGATTACTGCAGATATTGTTGTTAAAAAAAGAAAAACAGATGGCCTAATTGTAGTAAACTGGCGGTTTTGGGGAACTCCAGTCTTCGCTTGCTTTGGTAGCGTGTCGGTTTTGTCACTGACGGGTTCATGAGACCTTGTTCTCTGCCCAGGTCTTTTCATCGATTGTAGCTATTCCTAATGTCGTTGTTCTCTTTTTGAGTCCTTTGTTCAAATATTCGAGCGATTTCATCACGCGCGCTGTTCATCTACTGTCTCGGCACCGTCTCTTACCGTACTTGGTAGTCTATGCTTGCTGGAAACAAGTGTGAGCCTTGCAGCATGTACGGTAACGTTTTTGATTAAGAAAGTGATGTCAAACGACCTACGGGTTCAGAACTCACCATGTTGAGTATTTTCGGAATTACAAAGAACTTCTCTGTTGGCTTTTAGGAATTGCGTTTAGCTCAATACGAAGTTTGAGGATGCATTCCTTTATTCGTTGTCGCGATCATTATTTGGGCGTCTCCTGCGCACAGGCACTCATTCATCGACAATCTTTCAGATTGTTGTTTCTGCTACAGTCTGAATACTCTGGTCTAATTGATGTTCGACAACACTGCCGACCCGTCTTGTATTCATGCGATGATGAAGCTCTATTTATTTACTCCTCCATTCCCGCTCTATGCACGAGAGCCTAAAACGAGAAGATTACAGAGGCAAGTCATGAGCGCCAATGGCCGTGAGATGTATCGGAGTGCTGAATTAACAAAAAGGTATCCGATTCCATTTCTCAATTCAGCGCCAGGTCGAATTGCAAGTACAGAACGCGCCGGCGTCAGTTAAGCTGTCTCGAAATGCGGATCGACTGTACACCTGTGGAGCCTCCGATGCACAGTACAGCGCCTCACTCACTGAGAGTGCTATGACTCATTGCAACAGTTAGTACATACCTCACCTAACTTATCGTAGGAGCAGCTAAAGTTCAGGGCACCTACAGTGTACAGTGGGGGGCACCGATGCCCACCAAGTGGCTACCCCACAATACACAGTGCGATACTGACTGATACTTCATGATCACCGGCGCCAGCAAAATCAATTTTTTGAATAGCGAAGAGCTACATGTGATTGAAAACAACCGCCGCCGCTACGAAGATGAATATCCCGGGAGGCTTACTGAGTCGTCTTCATTTAAGACCCTTGATGACAAGTGCGACAAGATCAAGCAATGCAGCACACTGAAGATAGAATAACTACAGGAGTCTAGCTTATTCTCTCGACTGGTATCGAATTCGGCACGGTATAATGGTCAAGAAGTCAAAAGACGGCACATGGTGACAGCTCAGTCTGATACATTTATGACTCCGAAACTCCATCCGAAATGCAGACAAATAGTCAATCAGAGGGGAGGCAACTGCACAACACCGATAGTGGCCAGAAAGACCCTTCGCTTCTTGGCGAGACTCCAGTCATCCTCGGGCTCGACCTCGACGGCACGGAGAAGGGTTGAGATTTGTGCATCTACATGATTAGCGATGATGAGGAGCATACCAGACAGTGCGTTGACTTGGTCGAAAGTGCGAGGGAAGTTTTGGATAGAAGAGCCATCTTCTTTGACAAGAGGAGTGTAAGGGAGGGAGGCCGTTCTCACGCGCGTACGCGTTAGTTACAAAGGAAGCGGGGAAATGAGGTAAGCAAAATGGAATTTGGCTGAACCCGCGTTTTGTTGGAGAAGAACAGGCAACGGCACGAGAAACGCGCGCTATCACGTGATGCTGTTTGACACTTGGTAGGTACGATTTGAGATCGGAAACTCTCATACAGCAAAAGTTTTCCGGACTAGGTTAGGACGTGGCTTGCCTCGTGATTACCATACACATTCATCTATAATGCGGGGTTCGAAGGGTCAGACAGCGCAGCCTTATGATTTTTAACACTACTTCAATATCACTGTTTCTCATGGCTGATCTGATAATGGAACAAGAAGGCTATAAAAAGCTTTCTGGGCGTATCGAACACCTAGAAGAGGAAACAAACCTCTCTACGGAATGCGCCCAGCTACCCAATTATGCCGCGTATCTACAGGCATCTATATCTATGGGAATTTATAGCGCCCGACGAGGCCACCGTTTTCATCAACTAACGGCTCGCACCATCGAGAGTAAACCTCGCCTGTCTAAGGAAGAGGTCGAAATCCTCGAGGCCGAGTTTCAAAAGAACCACAAGCCTGGCAGCAGCACCAAGAAAGCACTTGCAGAGTCTATGAGAGTCGACAATGCCCGAATTAATGTATTATCATCCCATCCCCACGTGGAGACTGACTGGGAGACTAAGTGAGTTGCAGAACTGGTTTCAGAACCGGCGTGCAAGAGAGAAGAAGGAGAAGAAGACCTATGAATATGCCGCCAGGCAAAAACTCGAAAATGAGAAGGTGGCTGAGGCGGCAATCAAAACCACGAGCGAGGTTGCAACTGAGGCCGAAAATTGGTCTCTGTCACACCCAACAGGCTCCACGGGCCTCACTTCCAAGTCAGGTGGACCGGTTCGAAATGAAGATGCGACAAAGACTGCCATCAGGGGTGCTGAAGCCATTGACGAAGCGAGCGACGACAGCAATAAACTGTCAGATACTGGCGACGGTGAAGAATTAGCCAAGCCCGAAGAAACCGGTCAGTGTTTCACCGCTGAACTGCCACTCAAGCTGTTGGAAGAGATCCCCTCCAGGTTCCCGCAGTCCGAGGGTGAGGACCATGGCACTCAAAGGATACATGAAAGTAAACTCTCAGAATCAACTGCAGAGAGTAGCGCGACCCTCACGACCTTGCCCATGGACCTACAAAGCGCGCAGCCGGGATCCAAAGAACCCGCTGCCCTTATAGGCGAAGAGAGCCACACGGCCGAGCAGCCACTTCTCAGCCTCAAACCCCGAGAAGTTGGCAGCTTCTCATGGCTAATGTCTTGGGCGAGAAAGCTGTCGAGGCCTAAGTTGAAGACAGGATTCCGTCGGATCGAATGGAAATGTGTAGGTTATTCCTTTGCCTTTCTCTGCGTTCGTGTCTGTCCTTCCTTCCCCGTGCACGTCACCCTACTTCGACATATATCATCTATTCTGTCGCCCACAAGCCCAGGGCAGGCCATAGCCCCCGCCTCCTTGTCTTCGTCGAAATGATCAGATGCTGACAGCTGCAGGACTGTGGATCGGATCTGTACGCTGATTTTCCAGAATGCGAGGGGGTCGAGCTCGACAAGTTGGAAATCTTATTGCAGAGCTCTGGATCAGATACTATCCCGACGGCCGGCGTTCAACCCGAATCTCTCAATACTTTCGGCCATGTTACCTTGGACGATACCTCGAAGCAGCAGAAATGCACCACGTCAGCCAACTCCCCGACGAAGGGAGACCTGAACACCGTGGCAGATGCCAATTCGCACACCGAGCCGACTCCAGTAGAAAGGCCGCCCCCAAAGTTCCTCGCCCTATGCGTTAATACAGGGGGTAACTACAGCACATTGACGGAGATTGACACAGCGCAATTCCAGTGTGACACAAGCGCTTTCCTTGCCCTGAAGGATGAGTATTTGAGGATACGAGGCCAACGCGCCCGCTTCTGGTTCTTAATCAAGCCAACTACGGTCGACTTTGTGCAGGTGAGTGAGATACTATTGACAGGTACATAAGTTACAGATCGAACTTATGATTACTCAGTTTACACTCTGGAATCTACGACACGGCTACATCTCCGTCTGCAGCCGGCCTCAGTCCATACCACCGCACGATTCCAGGGAGTACGAGTACGCCCCGAAGCCATTGAGAAACCCCCCTCCAATGCCGCCAGAGGTCTTCATCCACTTTCTCAATCATAACGAGGACGATCATCAACCTGGGAAACGCATCTGGCTACCTCGTCTACCGAAGCGGCTTAGTAAACGGGTGATCGACTGCGATGAAGGGTGCGAGGGATGGGGGATTCATGTCATCGAAGGGCCGAACCGTGGAATGATCTTCTTAGTTATGATCCTGACGATATTCGGAAGCGTCCTTGCAACCATCTTATGGTCGGCTATACGGGGTGATATACCAGGGGGATCTACCTTGGGTGCCTTTATTGTTGCTCTACCGGCGGCGATCCTGACTGCGTTTCTGTTGAAGTTAGATGCAGTTTAATTGTTAATAATTTATAGCTATAATACTATATACTTATATATATTTATTTAATTATATTAATAGACATTCACCTGCTAATCTTTATATAGTAATACTATAATACTATAATACTGACTTGTTATTTTATTTACTTTAATATTAGCTGATTTAATTTATGTTATATTTATGCTATATTTATGATACATGTTTAAATTTTTCGATTGCCGTTTCTTATGCCGCTGTAGCGTTCGTTGAGGAGTAAATCATGCGGGTCATGATTGTATGTATCAAATGCTCTGCTGAAGCTGAGAAATCGTGTGTGACCTCCCAGTGGTTCATTCTTGACTGGATCAGCTCAGGACTTCACGCGGATACAATTGGCCGGTAGATTGCTCTCCCATTACCCATTGTTAGCGAGATACTGGTACGCGCCCATATCCCCAATTGCCTGACTTGCATTCCCGGATTATGGCGCTTAATGCATCGTTTCAAGGCCGTTCGCAGGAACCCAACTGAGATGAGGAGGGAGGCCTCAAGGTGAGGGAAATTCGGAGATCTGGGAAGTAAAACTTGTTTGGAAGAAAATGTTCCATCAATATCACATCAAGTATGCGGGTCTACTAATAAAGGGGTTCTCCTAGCATGGCACATACGAGATACCGATCTCAGGTTTGAGACAGCAATAGGACCTGTGCAGCCGAATAATTCAGTGTGAATAGCTCAAGTATAGTATTATAGGATTGCGGCCCTAGCCAGACCACGATACAGACTACCAAATGAACGATATCGGCTACGTGAGGAACTTTGAGAATCTCCATAACATAATTTTATCCACGAGGCCTGTATCAATAGGTCAAACTGACCAGCCAGACTAGCTCGCTTAAATCTACCTATATACCCTGCCGTGAAGTCGTCACTTCATATGTCACTCGAATGCCCCCTTCCTGCCCATGGAGGTCCATCTGCTGGTTTCTTCGGAAATCAGGCCCCAAGATCTCTTCATCGCTCTGGTTATCATCTCGAAGCCTGTGGATGCCTTTGGAGTAAACCCTCGTTTTGGTAAACGGGCCCTTTACGGCAATCCTCCTCTCATATTCTTCCTTGTCGTAGTCCTCAGATATGCTGTTGTTCTTGTCCGGTGTGTTTGGATTCAGTGTACTTCCACCGATCGTTTGTAGAGGATGTGATCCGCCAGCGCTATGCTCGCGGTACTTGCTGCCATCTCGGGATGTCCATCTATCGAGGTATCGCTTGTATAGGGGGCGGCAGACAGGGATGCCAATACAGATCATGGTTACGGCTATCTCGGCCGCTGACCAGACGATAAGGCCAACGGTATCCTCTGTTAAGAAGTAAAAATTAGATAAGAACTCGTCTACTTGATCCTGTGAGTGGACAACTTACTTGAGTAGTTGGGGCTTGACAGCTCAGGAACCTCTAGAGTGCGCTTAATACCACAAGCTCCAGCACTGAATGAGAATCAGCTGCAGTACAAAAAGGAAATAAAGAAGAGAGCAACTCACATCACACCAAGACTAAGGCTGCAAAGGATGACCACCTTTTCTCGTTTATTCATCTGCAGGCCCCAAATAAAAAGCCAGGGAAAGCCAGCAAAGAAGAAGTCAACAATCACGCAGAGGACTATAGTATCAGCTTACAATACTTGAACGAGAGTCAATCAAACACTTACTGCAGAGAATCATCGACACTGGTGTCGAATTAACTGTACACTTTCCCGGAATGCGTCGATCCCACAGATACTTCGGAGGAGTGCATTGTAACCAAAAGACGAAGCAAGTCGATATCGATGCGCCGGCAAGGCATCCCATGGAAACCCAGATCGCAATCTTGTGCCATCGTTCTTTCACAATTCGAAGTAGAAACAAGCCGAGAGACCACTTTGCAACTGCCATCCCAACAACGGCAAAGGTCTGACCGATAGCCTCGAAGAGGATAGCAAAGGGTAAGTCGTCAGGATCTCGAGCCATGATATCAGTAACATTCTGACCAAAGCCATAATGGGCCGAGACAGTCGTGAAGATGGTATAGAAAAGGAGAAAGACCTATTGAGTGGTGCAGGTATCAGTACTAGTCGTTTTTGCGAGGAACGGGCTCGATGCATGACTTACAAATGCCAAATTATAGACATGATCATCAGTGCCAAATGATTCGACAACAACAACTCTGGTATAAACCCGTAATAGAACAAAGACGAATACCACAGCAGTCAATACCCACATGACAGCAATGGCCCACGGCCCATCTCCTCCCATCGACATTTTGCAGACGCTCTGCACAGCGGAAAAGTGGTGGCGGTTTGGAAGCAGACGTTAGGCGTTTATGCGAATCTGAAAAAAGGCCAGTCAGGTCATATAATGAATGATGAATGGGATTGTCTTGGCTAAATTAACTACCGAGTTTTTACACGGGTACCCCTAAAGGACACCCTCAAGGATTACCAGGTACATACCATGGGGATGAATCCGTACGCTCGAAACCTCAGTGGATCTCGCTCGTATCTGTACCCTGTATTGCAGATCTTTAGAACCAACAGATCATACCATGTAACCTCGCGAAATTGAGTAGTGCCGATAAGTCATGATCTGATGTCTTGCTACCAGCCCAATATGTATGTAGATATCCCAAGTCGGATCTACAGACGCCACTCAATTTCGTGACTGTATACGGAGTAGTTCAGTACTGGTTGGCGTATTTAGCGTCTCCGGAAGTGAATTCCATGCTATCCCGCTGATAATTTGTCTGTTGTCTCTTCCCGCGCGCTTGCTTTGCGTGCCGTGCCGTGCGGAGTCGCAACGTAAGTGGAACCGCAGTCTATTGTGGCGTCTTAGTTTGTATCCTCAAGTCCCCGAGTCATGGCAGAAACACACAATCCTCGTGGGGGAACAAGACAGACCCTGGGCCCCCGTTAGCAACGTACGATTCCCCACATGACACGCGTCAGTTTTGGACGAGTAAGCGGTATTTCATCCATGCATCCTCGCTAATGCTAACTCTGACATTGCAGAGCCAACGCTCCTTGGTGGATCGCTGGTGAACTAATGCATGAACCCGGCTCCCCGGAAAACTCAAAATCGCCCTGTCAAGATGCCTTCGACACCAACAGCAGCGTGCGTAGGACTCTCTGAACTATGGGCAGTACCAGCAGATTCACTGGCATGTCTTGGCTAGATAATAAGCCTTCTATTCTCAGTCAGAGGGAAAGCTGGAACATCCGATATATAAGAATACTGTTTACTGCCAGAATTAACTTATTATCGGATAATGTTTTAGCCATATCTCCATAGAGTACCAAATGGTGCTGGGACCCGGTGACGTGATAGCCAATCAGTATTTACTTATTAACTAAGCGATTGCCAGGAGCCCTGTCTGCCATTTTAGCGTGGACTCAGCAGCATTAGTACTTGAAGGAGATGCATAACAGGTGTTGGCTGGACCCTTATCATTGCTAACAAAGCCAGACCTGGAGCAACGATGATACCTTGACGGTTGTAGCTGCAGATGTAGGTGGGGCGAATAAAAAAAGCAACGCCTTGATGGGTGGAACACCAGCGATCTTTGATGTATTTGTGGTCAATTCAATTTCCAACCCTCCGCAGGGAGATCTTAGGGACCCTGGCGTAACCAGTCTCAGCCCAACAGTAACCCCTGGCAAAACAAGCTGTCACAGACTGTATATGTATGTGGCTTGGTCCCCCTATCTCTAATAACGGTAAACCCAGTCCATGTTTTATTGGCAAGTTGTCTCTTGTCTCTTGCCTCTAAAGATGTCTTCCACTCATAGCACCTCATACCTTTACACTCTGATCCAACGCTCGGACTGGAAGAACATCAGCGCGTCATTCGTGTTTATTCCCATATTGAGCATAGCTACCTGGTGTATTGTGACGTATTTTGCATCACCGCTCCGAAAATATCCTGGGCCTCGTTTAGCTGGTAAGCGTAGGGCTTTTCCCGTCTCAGCTGGTGAAGCTAACGTCAGACAGGCTGGACTAACTTGTGGCGCCTGTGGACTGTGAGGAAGGGTAGCTACCACATTAGAATCAAAGAACTTCATGATCAGTATGGCCCTGTTGTTCGCATTGGCCCTAACACCCTGGACCTTGACATCCCCGAGCTAATTAATACCCTCTATGGTACTGATGGCAAGTGGAAGAAGGTATTATCCATCTATCTATTCGCTCTATCTTTCTGAGCACTCTCCATGCATACTGACCTTGGCCTTGCTCTAGACTGAGTTTTATCACAACAACAGTGCTGTCATCGATGGCAAGATCACATATCACCTGTTCAGCACCACTGATCAGGCTGAGCATGCCCGCATGAAGCGTCCTATTGTCAAGTACTACTCCCAGAGCAGAGTTATAGGTCTTGAGCCTCTGTTTGATGGTTTGATCAGCGAGTTTTGCGACCATCTTGAGCAGAGATTTATGAGCGGTCGTGAGCCAACAGGATTCGACTTTGGCGAGTGGATCGGTTTTTGTAAGCTTAGTTTTCCACAGTGACTACTGAAGATGCTGACTAGGGTTCTTGCAGATTCTTGGGACGCAAATGGTGCTGCTTCCTTTAGCCAGCGGTTTGGGTACATGGATAAAGGCTACGACTATGACAACACCATCTCTATCGCCGATAAGGCCCTTGACTAGTAAGACATCCCAACAGGATCCCTGGGTCTCACCATGTCAGCTAACTGTCTCAGTTTCGCCGCAGTCGGTCAAATGCCCTTCCTCGACTTTCTTCTCGACAAGAACCCCATTATGCGAATCGGCCCTCCCAACTTGGCTAACATCACTCGCATCTCGCTGGAACATTTGATCTCTCGTCTGCAAGGGAAGGATAAGAACTTTGACCCGAAAGTTCCTGACTTTCTGAACCACTTTATCGAATCAAAGAAGACAAACCCAGATCTTGTCAATGATGGTATCATCATGGGTTATCTTCTGGTCAACCTCCTTGCTGGCGCTGATACCACTGCCATCACCATACGCGCCTTCTTCTGGTACGCCCTCCATAGCCCTAGTATTTATTCCAAGCTTGAGAAGGAGATCCTGGCTGCCGGTATCGACAATGTCGCCTCGTTCAGCTCAGCACGAGCATTACCCTGTGAGTTATCTATGGATATGGATACCTTGTTCCAAGACCGCCCCCCAGCTGACCAGACAACAGACCTTGAAGCTTGTGTCCGTGAAGCAATGCGTATGCATCCAGGTGTCTGTATGCTACTTGAACGCTACGTCCCCGAGTCCGGGCTAAAGCTTCCAGACGGCAGCTTTGTACCCCAAGGGACAGCGGTAGGCATCAATCCGTACGTTGCCGGACGTAACAAGGACGTCTATGGCTCTGACGCTGACTTATACCGCCCTGAACGCTGGCTCCAAAGTGAAGGCGAGACTGAGGAGGAATATAACAAGCGAATTCGACTCTACAACGCCGCCGACTTGACGTTTGGTAGTGGCTCGCGAGTCTGCATTGGTCGCCACCTGGCTCAGCTCGAGCTTTATAAGATCGTAGCCACGCTAATCAACAAGTATGAGATCTCGTTGGTGGATCCAGATGCACCATGGGTAGTTACTGGCAGCTGGTTTCCTCGTCAGAAAGGTCTGAACTGTTACTTGAAGAAGCGAGCTTAATATACCTAAACAAGATACTTGCTATAATACTTATAGTTCTTGAAGGATAGATTATCCTCATCTTCGAGATTAGCTGCAAATGTTGTCATAGCTTCTATCCTCCATGGGCATTAGCATGCATCAACCATCCCATGAATCGGTCGGGGGCACCAGCTGCAGTTCCCGCCTGGAAAAGTCCATTCTATAGGCCTGCGCATATAGCAGGAAGGATTGCTGCTCCTGTCCATCCTACCTTGTCTCCAAAGTCGAGGCTTGAATGCACATCAATATGGTTCCAAAATGAAACTAAATGTGCTGTTATGATGATGATGATGATGATGCCCACAGGAGTTGGGGACGCCGAAAAGGTACTGGCAATGATAAAATTGTGACCAAACATAAGAGGATCAATATCAAGAATCAAAGTGTAGTGTAAGAGCTTTTGGTGAGACCCAAGGGTTGATAGTGGGTGCTCGGTCGGATCGGCATTTTGCTGGATCTCATCCATCATTTCGGCTTGCACGACCGAAGGCTTTCGCTCGGTGTATATTACCAGGGTGGATGGAGGGAAGGATGCCAAGAGAGATAAATTATTGCAGCATACATTGCGGGTATTATTTGATCGATGCATGTTTGTAGGCTCTCTGCCACTATGACTCAAGCTCAAGGAGCTTAAAAGGTAGATAATCCTCACTCCGATCTCCCATGAATAGCAACCAGTTCTGGGCTAATGAGTTAAGTTGCAAAGTCGGATGAAACCGGGTATTGGGAACCGCCACTTTTCGCTCAGTCGTTGACTTGATGAAAGTTTCCCATGTCTTTGAGTAGGTGAGATTATCACTAATCTTGTACTTGCATAACTCACTCATGCTTAACGACAGTTTAGCTCGTTTGGCGATAAATGTCTATCGCTTTTGGAGAATCTCCGAAGTGTGTGAGACAATATATCGAATAGTGAGCAGCCAAAGGCCATCGCTTCGTCTCTGGAGCTTGCATAGACAACGCGAAACTTTATTAGATATAGTCTAAAGAATTTCGCTGGAAGCTTTCTGCAGTTCGTTGGCAGCATGGAGAACCTGAGATATGAGATATACTATGAACTCTTTGTACGTGTTGTTCCCGGTCGTAGAAAGTCGTGTCATAGACATCTGCAGGGCGACTTGAACGAGAAGCCAAGTCGAAGAGCGACGCCAAGGGGCTTTGCTGTCTTTCCAGATGATATCATCGCGGGTGCTTCTAGAGCTTCTTCTACAGTGACTTACTGCATCCTCGGGGGATCCTTAAGAAGTTCGGTAACGATTATTGGATCGGGTGTCTCGTTTTTATCCTCCTTCTCGCTTTTTTCTTTTATGTTTACCTGCCTAGTCTCTCTTACAGTTTGCTGGCTCATATCGGTAAGAGCCTTAGCCATAACCATCTGATATTCTTGACTTTCGAAGTCGACGGCCGTGACCTCGACTGCAGTTACCGGGAAATGACGGACAAGTTGTCCTCGGATCGACATGACAGCCTTGTTTCTTGGTGACAGCTCAAAAGCTTCAAAGCAGACCGAGTCGGAGTTTCTGCAGATGAAAACGACAGCATTCTGTTCTGCGATTTGCAATGCTGCTATAGGTGCTATAAGGAATGGGTAAGTTTGCTCTCTGCAACCTAATCAAATTTGAAAGGCGTACCTCCATGAGAAAGTTCCTCAGAATATCTCTAACAACAACATCCTTCAGATATCTTTGAGGGTTCTTTCATGCCTTCAGGGACCTCAATACAGATAAACTGGCCTTCAATGCCTCCTGATCATGGTATCCGGGGAGAGCACACTTCCGTGACCGCTGAACGAATTCTAAATGTGTTGTATCGTTCTTCTGAGAGGTGTAATCTGCATCTGGAAGTTTTAGAGGCAGAAACAAGGAAAGGTTTTCGAAGCTTATGCCTGAGAAGGTTTCAGGCGTTGCACCATCTGAAGCCATACCTAGTTGAAGGAGTGGTGACTGTCTGCGCACGTTGGTTGGTTCAGCAAAAGTGTCATGGAAATAAGTGGAGATTAAGTAGTAGGATAGAGGGAGAGAAAGAAGGGCAGAAGTGTTGTCTGGTCAATATTTCTACGCAAACTCGCTAAGGCAGACTATTCGAAGGTCGGAGCGGTCTTCGAGAGACAGCATGCCTAGGGAGAGATATGCTTTACTATACATGTATACCATTGATTACTCGGGGGCCGGCATCAGCGAGCCCGAGCTAGGATGGAGCATTACAAGCTACGCCACGTATGCCCTACAAAAGCTCACCTACCACGCTCATGTTAAGGGATAGAATTTTCTATCCTGTCCCTCAGCACCACAAATAGACCGAACCTGTTTCACCGCGACACACTATCACAGTCCAAGAAGACTAAAGCTGAGACGCCTCAGGTTATCGAGTATAAAGATTGACAGACTCATTGGCACTTTGGTAGCTGCGAGCTTACTAGACATTAATTAAACTTCTTTTATACTAAGTATCTCACATAAGCCCCGTCATAAACCCATTGTTTCCCTGCCACTCCTCGACCTCTGCGCTGTTCGCCATCCACATCATTGGGTTCATCGCTCGCAGACCACCATTCAACCCATCTGGGACTATCCTTCTACTGTCGTTTTCAACCTCCATATTGCTGCTTTCGTGCTGAGCAAGGATCAAAGCAATGGCCTTCTTGAAGGGACGCATCTCATACTCTGGGATATTGGCTCCCTGTATGGGCCTGGCATGTAGATACGCTAGCTCATCTTCTGCAACAGCTTCCTTGGTGAGTATAGAAGACAGTTCATCAATAGTGTCGCGTAATTCTGGACTAGAATCTTGCAGTGAATCGGCGGCGGCCACTTTCTGTACGAACTCGTCGGCAAAGGCAGAGTGAGCTGCTAAAGAAGAGCCTCCCTCGACCACCTGCCCATGAGCCCTTGTCGGTTGGGTCGAGTCGCTGGCTGGCGTCGAAACAGAGGAGCGTGCCTGGTCAGAGGCTCGTGGATCTCTGGGTGACCGAGAGCTTTCGTTACTCGGCTCGCTCGCTCGGAGCTTTTCCAAGAGCCAGATTGCCCTCTCAAGCCTGCTGCCGACGAGGTCTGTCTTTTGTTCGCTGGAGGCAGGGAGTAGATATGTTAGATAACGTGCCAGTAGGAAGATGGGATGTCATGAGAAAGAATAGATGTGGGTGGAGTCCAGGGTCTGCATACTATTAGGGGGTGAGGACAATGCGCGTGCGCTTCTTTGGAGCTTGGGCAGGAGTGTAGACACAGACAACTTTAACGCTGACGCAGTGGGCACAAGGGGACTCCCTATTACAGCGAACCTACATAGAGGTATTTAAGCTTAAGACTCTAAACTCGATCATGGAGACAAAGGACTTGAGGTTTTCCGCATTCATGCAGAGACGCATACCTTGCGAGCAAGACAAGCATCGCACTATGATAGAGGTCAACGACTGTATCGGGAGGTTGAAAAGTGAGAGATGGGAGTACTCTCAGCCCGGCGGTTCGCATCGGGGTTGACCGGCGACCACTCAGGGCCATTGCCGACTCCGCTGGCCTCGAGCTGACTGCCAGTATCCATGTTATGGTGTCACAGGATTTGCAGCAGCGATCGCAAGATTGGGGTCTGCCCTTCTATTTGCCAAGGTATGTAAGGACAAGGCTTCTAGGGTCGGGAAGAGTGAAGTCGGCCTCTGACGATGGAGGGAAAGCGAAGTACAGTATGTTAACAGGGGGACAGTACTTTAAGTAACGCTCGCGTGAATACTAAAGCAGGGAGCGAGGTCTTAATAGCTATAACACAGACTACAGCCAGTAGCGGCGGTTACAGCAATGAGCTAGACAATAGAGGCTTTTCTTATAGTGGAGTGTGACTTGAGTTCAGACTTGCCCAAGCTTAGCGGCATCACTCACCCGGGTCATCGCTCGGTCACGGGCCCCGCGAGCTCCGGCCGCCGAGACCAAGAATCAACCGGTAGTGGCACCGAATTGTGGACGCCATCTTGCTAGAGACTGGGACTTGTGAACACTGGCTGCCGGAGACTAGATGAGTTGGGATGCTCGTGCTCCGGCCCCGACTCCGTCACCATGGAAAGCTTGTATCATCACGGAATCCATTGTCTGATGTTTCTATTTGAAAGAACGAGGTTCGCTGCCCTCTCTTGCGATTCAGCCAAAGTCGTTCCTTGCCAACAATCCTAAACTTCAGAGCCCACGCCAGGCTGCGTTAACGCCAACCGCTCACAGCATGGATTCCAAAGACAAGATGAACCAGAACGACAGGTCTCTTTCAACCACCTGCATAACCGGAAAGGAGCCCCAAACGTGGCCATATGCCAGAACCTTCAGATACGGTGGTATATTCAAGCATTCAATGTAACCAGTCGCCATTTTTACTGCCATTTACTCCAGTGCAGGTATCACCCTTCAGAATCTCATTCTTTTCAAAGTTCATCACTCTCGTTACCGATTTCGCATCCGCAAAGACATCACTTGCCCATCTTCGCGACGACGCCGCAACACTTGCTCTTTGTTTCGCTTACCTTGACATCAGCCGATTCGTTCTGTCTTACTACAACACGCTTCTGACATACACGGTTTACCGTATAACTCAAAATATTCGACACTCATACCTTAGAGCCGTTCTTAGCTAAGAAGTCGCCTGTTTCGACTTTGGCACTGGCGGTTCTCCGGCAGCCCAGGCTTCTTCTAACGGCCGCTTGATTTAAGGTGGTATTAGTGAAAGGTTAGGCCTTCTGTTCTAGGACATATTTACCTTTTTTCCTATTGCATTTATATTCTAAAGGAAACTTATACTTATTTGCCTCTGTATAGTACCTGTAATGCTTATTGTCAATAGAGCGGCGGCTGGTATCATGGCGGGCCACGAAACTGACATCTTGGAGATCCATTCCCAAACCAACTCGTTCGCCGAAAGCATTCTATCAAGCGCCCGCACAATCTATGCGTTTGAGGCGCGTGACAGGCTAGTCAGAGAATTCGACACGTACTTGACTAATGCCCACCACGTTGGTAACAGAATCTCGCCTTCTTTTGGCACTCTCCTTTCAGCCGAGTACTGCATCGTCTACTTGGGCTACGGTCTAGCGTTCTGGCAGGGTATCCAAATGTTTTCTGGAACGAGCAGCCAGGGACTCACTCGACTGAGCCTGCAGAAGCTCAGCATGTAGTGCTAGCTAGCCACGCAACGAAATATCTTCTTGGCAACCTTGATGTGGTCGGTGGTCTCTTCAATCAGTGGCCAGTCTTTTCGTGACTGTGTCGCGGAGACACCCAAAACCCGAGACGCAGTCCAGGGAGATATATATCATAATGTTAATTGAAGTAATGACGAAAAGCTTTTCGCTCTTTGATAAGTTTGTGTTACTTGCCTATCCAAGTTGTAAGTTTTCTGCCCAACGCAACAAGATATTCTCAATTGATGTTAAAACCATGTCGTGAGATCCTGCTTGTGGTCTCTGTCCCACACAACTGATCTGGATCCATCATTACAGGCATCATTGCTCAACTATACTGCGCAATGTGAGATTATCTCTCATGTAAGGTTTATTGCACTGCTGGAAGCAATTGTTAAAGTTAATTCATTTCACATGCTCTTGTTTTAATCACGACTGCGATGAAATTTGAGCTGAGTTGAGGGTTGGATCTGATTGACCTGCCGAAGTTGATTGCCATATCGGCTTCGCGCTAACCGATAAGCTATCGATAAGCCAAGCCATTACTAATTTCATTTCCCTCCGCTTGCGACAGGTTCAGGGTAGCTTACCCATCTTTATTCACGTCCATTTCAACTAAAGATTCAAGTTGACAGAAAGCATCGCCCTTTCATGATACTTTAAAGTGCAATAGTATAGTGACAGGCATGTGACTTTCATTCGATGACCAAGTTTTTCAGTCTTAGAGCCTCCACTTCAAGGCGGGGATTGGGGCACTGAACTTGGGGTTTGGATTGAGATATGGAGCATTCCTTTCATAAGCATTGGCACTGCGCGTCCGAGAGGATGGATGAGATGTAAATTGATTGACTCAGGTGGTGTTAAATCTCCCTACATCGTTCTCGTACGCACTGGTGAATTGGCCTCGAAATAATCAGTGGCATTGTATCATCGATGTGCTGATGCTTAACACTGGAAGTCTTAGCTAGACTTTTTGGGAACTATTTCAAGCACAATATCGCAGGGAAAACCATAACATAAATAACAAGAGAATAGGCACGTTAAAGGAATTGCATGATATCGCTTGGAGCGGGTGCTTCCAAAGAGACTCAACAGCGGACTACAGTGTCGACCTGGGCTGAGGGCCGAGCTTCTGTATATTGAGTCAGTTTTTACGAATAGCCCACGGCTGATAATGCGCCAGGTTGTACTGTGAGAATTACTGACACTGGGTTATTTAGCTTATCTTTGGACTACTGACTCCAGCTTCAGACCTTTCCGTGAGGCCTGTGGTCATTACGCTGATATGCAGATGCACTATTTTTCGGTTCTACAACTGCTGAGAATTCCCCAAGCTGCATTCGAAGCAGCATTCTCATTTCCCTCCCTCAAAGACAATAATCAATTGCGATGCATTATCATCTTCAATAAATGTCCCCATCCAAACGCTTCTACCCAAGTCCAGCCTCTTAATTTCCAGGACATCATTCACCAGTCCACACTGACCAAGCCGCGACAGCACGTGATCCCGCGTCTGCCAGTGTGAACTTGGCTGATAAGATAAGAGCTTCGCGGTGAATGACGCGCTGTGTAACACAAGCATCCCGACCCACACCAAAAAAAGAAAAACAACAACAGAAGATTCCCCTCCGCTCTCAATTTTCATTTCGCTCTCTTTTCTTCTTCCTCTGCAGTCATGGCTGAACACGATAACAAGTCCCCCGACTCCTCTCCTCCTCGCGCGCCGTCCGTCGACAAGTCCCTTACGGCCTCTCGCAAAGTCACCCCGCCCGAAAC